CTGGACCTCCCTTGAATGTAGACTTCGGGATTAAACAATTTTTGGAATACTATGTTTATTTATTATATCTGCTATTGTGCGGCTACATAATGCGAAGAACTGAATAGTGGCCAATGACACTTTTTCTTCACTTCACCTATCCAGTGTATAGGTTTTTCTCATAGTGACTATAAAGCACGTTCACACCAACAATATGGTTGAAACCACAGCAAGTAAGAAAGTGACACTCGATAGTAACCAACATTAGTTTGGGATTGCAGTCCTATTATTCAGAATAGACCTATACTTTAGAGAACCAACCAGATTCTATAAAATATATGATGGTAGTTTCTTCCTATTCTATCTTTACACCAAAGATATGGAAATCTTATTTGATATAAAAACATACTTAACTTTCCTGGATTGTTTTCAAATTTGGTACACTGATAGATCTTTACAACCTATAAATACACATGCAAAGTTATTTAAGAAAAACTGATCATTTTTGACCAAAATCAAATTTTGACTTGGTCAAAAATGATCAGATTTTGACGAAAGTTGGTAGACATATGTAGAATATTATTCCTCATTGTTCTGACAAAAATTGCCCATGGCCATTGATAACGACAGTCATACAGACACATTGTCGTATTTTTTGAGAGCCAATTATGACCAACGGTGTGTAGTGGAGATATGCACTCTACTGAATGCCCCTCTAGTTAACACTGTTTTAGAAAGGAAAACTACCATCATATATTTGCTATATTTTATTACATTTCCTTATTATAGAGCGTTTAGCATCACGTGATATTAGCTTAATAAATTATCGTAAGAAATGATGCTTGATATGGCTTTACCGAGTGCATGCGGGTGATAAAAAGAAACTGTTAATCTAGATTCCATGGCGTTACTATAAAGGAAGTTATTAACACTGTTTTAGAAAGGAATTGGAGATTTTATATCTCGTGTATGTTTTAATGGATTGCTTTGAAATTTGGTTTTTTTGAAGTAATAGTCCAGTAGAGCACATCCACTGAAAATTTATATTTCACAGTCCGACCTACAGAGAGTGGAAAATTGCTCAAATTTCTATCACTCCTGTTAATAAACACACAGTGTATCTTTAAGGTTGTCTTGGCTGCACGACACACTACCGCGTGTCTTAATAAAAGTATTGTTTATTGGCCCATGGGTTAGTCAAGGTTGCCTACCACTGTCTTAAGGTAACAGTTAAACATAGTAAAAGTATAATTTTATTAAAAGTTACAGCTTTTAGAGTAACGAAGAATATCTTTAACTTGGTATGACGTTTCGATCAAAATGTTGTATATGATACTATTAATGATAAAAGTACTGTTTATTAGTCTAGGTTGCCCACCATTAACTATATTCAACATGCTCTTTATTTGAGTGGTATTTTTTGTTTCTAGGAAGGAAGAACACCCCTTCACTATGCTGCAGTTGTTACTGATGGGGGAAAGTATTACAGCATTTTAATACATGCTGGTGCTGATAATACAATCAAAGACAAGGTAAAGGCAGTTAATTTGAAGTGATACGGTAAATACATTTAAAACTGTGATCTTTCAACTAATCGCAAATCTAAAGAAAGGAATTAGTGTAATCAAAGTTTTAATTCTGACCGATATATATATATATATATATAGAAGAGATGAAATAATAATTACACGTGTAACATTTCGAAACCTTGACTAAAAACAAAATTATTATCAAAATATAAATCGTTTGATATTTATTTTAGTGTAGGATAATTAACATCTTCAATTAATTAATATTTTACACAAAACTATTTTAGTATGGCCACATACCTCAAGATTACCTGGACCAACCAGATTTACTGACCATTAGAGACCTATTAGAAGGCTACAAAATTACAGAAAATCTTCATAGAAAGCCATCTATTGTGGAAGTCTGGCATCGACCTCCAACACAAGAAATTGAACAAAGTAAATATACTCTGTCCTGGAATAATTTTCATAGAGATATTATTCCACTAATATCAAGAAATGAATCAAGATTTTTTTTGTTTCATGAGTTCACAGAAAACTAAAATTTTGGTACAAAGTTAACGCTCCTGAACAGATTTCCTTTTATCAGTCATAAGTCACATTTATTAGTTCTAATTAACTCTTTAGTTATGGCACAACGAAATGTATTTTACTAGATCTAAGTCACCGTGTAGTTATTCCTACAAAGATCTATATTTTACTAGATCTAAGTCACTGTATAGTTATTCCTACAAAGATCTGTATTTTACTAGATCTAAGTCACTATATAGTTATTCCTACAAAGATCTATATTTTACTAGATCTAAGTCACCGTATAGTTATTCCTACAAAGATCTGTATTTTACTAGATCTAAGTCACTGTATAGTTATTTCTACAAAGATCTGTATTTTACTAGATCTAAGTCACTGTATAGTTATTCCTACAAAGGTCTGTATTTTACTAGATCTAAGTCACTGTATAGTTATTTCTACAAAGATCTGTATTTTACTATATCCTAGTCATAGGTTATCATCACATTATAGATTTGTTTTAAATAATTTAAAGTAACGTAATTTACTTTTCTTTAATAAAAATATGTATGTAAGTTACTGTAATTATGATATCTTTATTTACCATAGAGTTAACTCCAGTTAAAAATATGTATGTAAGTTACTGTAATTATGATATCTTTATTTACCTTAGAGTTAACTCCAGTTAAAAATATGTATGTATGTTACTGTAATTATGATACCTTTATTTACTTCAGAGTTAACTCCAGTTAAAAATATGTATGTAAGTTACTGTAATTATGATATCTTTATTTACCATAGAGTTAACTCCAGTTCAGTCCGATGAGGAGGAGGAGGAGGAATCCCCCCTTCAAGTGGAACAGACTACTGCAGAAGTTCTTATCTTCCCACTCCTCACAACAGCCAGCGAAGAAGACAACCAATATCTTTTAGATACAGTTTCTGATATTTTAGTCGCTGGAATACGAGAAATCAGCCTATTAAAACCAGACGATCCTATTGCTTACCTAGCAACTTGGTTGTATAGTTATGCTTCCCATCGAGCTTCAAGAGAAAGAGACTCGGGGGTGAGTTATCGGGTAAATGATAAGAAAACATGTAGGGTATCTTGTGTCATTTGTAATAATGTGGAAGAAGGATTAACTACTAACATGCTTTAATCAGTCAATGCTAATAAGCTTGTATGTATTTATATATTAAGATAATATGAATGAAATATTTGTATCTCACATATATACAATCAATGTCAGTAAATGTAACAAACTCAGTGTATTGAAAGAAGGATTGAGGGGGTTATGCAGCGAGGATTTCTTTGGCATGGACCGGGCCATTCAGAGTGTTTTTCTTTTAATGTTATATTATAACCTACCTTATTCTTCCTAACTTAACATTACAAATTTATAATGTTTTTAGATATGGATATATATTTTTAATTTGTACAAAACTATATGTTATATTATTTTTTTTGTGGAGAAAATTTTTTTCATAACTTCTGTGCAAAGGTTTTTGTCAAGGATATTCAAGTGACATGATACTTGATGTAATCTAATAAATCCACACTTCTGTGTATAGAATCAGTCAGACGATATGACACCCGAATTTGAAAGAGTGCTTAATCAGCAAACCCGAAATCTCCAAAGCAGAATGAAGAAATTGACCACAACAGCTAATCTCGGTCAAAGGTTTGTTTAATTTCTTTATATTCTTTTTATGAATCTTACTTTCTTACTTATAGTTTTCTTTGGATGACTGGAAAACTTCAGTAAATAACAAGTAGAACTGTTAAAAAATCCTGCACACGAGAAAAAATTATAAATTTGAATTTAAATTAAAACCTTTTCTTATTAGTGGTTCCAAATGAATAAATGAAATCACGGGTACAGAATGGTTACGAGGTCAGTCAATTGTATAGTGTACAAAGCACTGAGTATTCTACATGTTACAGTCATCTAATGTTCATCTATTGTTGGCTAGTAGATCCTGTTTCACCCTGTACTTAAGTTTTATGAGGAATACCAGATATCTGTAAAAAAACTAACTTCAAGGGGTAATGTTGACATTGTTTACAATAGAATTATGATTTTTTTAAAGTTACTACCAGTTATTATGATTAAGCAATCCTTTCACTTAGGTTATGTTATTGTTGCAGAAGTCTTTTCACTTAGGTTATGTTATTGTTGCAGAAGTCTTTTCACTTAGGTTATGTTATTGTTGCAGAAGTCTTTTCACTTAGGTTACGTTTCTGTTATTGTTGCAGAAGTCTTTTCACTTAAGTTATGTTTCTGTTATTGTTGCAGAAGTCCTTTCACTTAGGTTATGTTTCTGTTATTGTTGCAGAAGTTTTTTCACTTAGGTTATATTATTGTTGCAGAAGTCTTTTCACTTAAGTTACGTTTCTGTTATTGTTGCAGAAGTCTTTTCACTTAAGTTACATTTCTGTTATTGTTGCAGAAGTCTTTTCACTTAAGTTACGTTTCTGTTATTGTTGCAGAAGTCTTTTCACTTAAGTTACGTTTCTGTTATTGTTGCAGAAGTCTTTTCACTTAGGTTATGTTATTGTTGCAGAAATCTTTTCACTTAGGTTATGTTATTGTTGCAGAAATCTTTTCACTTAGGTTATGTTATTGTTGCAGAAGTCTTTTCACTTAGGTTATGTTATTGTTGCAGAAGTCTTTTCACTTAGGTTATGTTATTGTTGCAGAAGTCTTTTCACTTAGGTTATGTTTCTGTTATTGTTGCAGAAGTCTTTTCACTTAGGTTATGTTTGTTATTGCTGAAGAAGTCTTTTCACTTAGGTTATGTTTCTGTTATTGTTGCAGAAGTCCTTTCACTTAGGTTATGTTTCTGTTATCATTACAGAAGTCCTTTCACTTAGATTATGTTTCTGTTATTGTTGCAGAAGTCCTTTCATTTAGGTTATGTTTCTATTATTGTTGCAGAAGTCTTTTCATTTAGGTTATGTTTCTGTTATTGTTGCAGAAGTCCTTTCACTTAGGTTATGTTTCTGTTATTGTTGCAGAAGTCCTTTCACTTAGGTTATGTTTTTATTATTGTTGGAGAAGTCCTTTTACTTGGGTTATGGAGGTCGTGCTTACTTTTCATAACAAAGTCAAGTAGTAACATCTGTTATTGTTGCAGAAGTTTTATTGTTGTTTGTCAAGCAACCTTTGGTAAGATAAGTTGGTTACATATTTTAGGTCTGAAAACCTGGAATTTTTAGAGGAGGAGAAAGAAGATGATGAAGACAACTCTACTGATATTGAAGATCAAACCAAAATGAAGGTTGAGTTTATTAAGCAAAATGTACATTTATTCATATTCATACAGCAGTGAAAAATATTACACATCTTTGTTGGCATATATGATGAAAGAAATATATATATATATATATAAATACCTTTAATTATACAAGAATAGTGTCAGAAAAAGAATTGGAACAATGGATTTTACTTTGTTGTCTAATCTATACACCTGGAAAAAGTTAAGCACCCCCGTGTTTTTTTCAAGTGATTCAGATTCGACGTTCTTGTGACTGATTATAAATTACCATTCAATCTAAACGTGTTTATCAAATGAAATTAT